TTGTAAAATTTTCTATGATCTCCGTAATGTTAAACTAATTGCAAGAACTGAACCCATAAAATACTTGTCTAATCTGGGCTTATATATATTTTGATATATAAACTCCAGACTATTATAAAAATTATTTTGATAGCTATTTCAATCTTAGGTTAGCTATTACTCAATCAAGAAATTAAAAAAAAATATTTTCTGTACAAAAACATGCATGTGAGAAAAACAAATACGAACATGCAAAAATGACATTCAAACGAAGAATAAATATGAAATCAATATTTACTAAAACTTAATTTTTATTAAATAAAATAATATAATGATTCCAAATCATGCCAGTATTTTATTTTATTTTTTTCCAAAAATTGCTTCTTATTCTTTTAATGACAATTGCTAAAATTATAGGTTTTAACATTTTTTTAAATTAATATAATTTACATATTTAAAAAAGTTTAACATAATATTTTAACACCCTTATTTTAAACTTGTAAAGCCCACTTAGAGGTTCTATGATAAATAAGCCCACTCAGAAATTCTATGAAATGCAACCCCACATAGAAATACTATAACAAGATTATGGTCAGTATAGTCTTTCTTATCCCCTTAGCTCGTGTCTTGAATTTTCTTTTTTCCTGTAAATGTGTCTTGTGTTTTCTTTTTTGGGGTAAATGTTTTTTCGTGTAAACATAATCCCTTTTTTCGTGTGAACATTTTGGTTTTATTTCGTTATTTTGTTATCTTCTTTTATAAAAAAAATAAATAACAAAATATTTTTTGTTTATATCAGTTAAAAATAAATAACTGAAAAACCAAGTGGCTGCAAAAGTGTTTCATTTTAAAAGTAGCATTTATTTAAAAAAAAGTAAGGCCAGTTAAACTTTTGTAAAAACTGGCGAGGAAAAAATGATAAAAAGTATTCTAATTTTAAATTAAATAAAAAAAGATGAAACCAGAAGTTGTAACTGCTACTGTCCTAAATAATTTTTTTTTTTTCACAGTGATCAATACAATAATCTTAAAAATAAATAAAGACAAATTTTTAAAAAATATATAGAGAGTACGAAGTATTTTCTTATATTATTTTGTCTATGTATGTTTATTGTAAACTTTTTGTGCAGCTTGATTGACATTCTACGTCCAGTATCATGATTTTTTGTGACCAGAATCTCTACTTATTTTTTGTAGACTCCAATTCTGTTATTTCTTAGGAAATTCTTCAGTACATGTTGAAATCCCTTCCGCTTTGTTTCTTAATATCAGATTCCAAAACGCAACGTATTTGTGCTCCAGTAAATATATCATAAAATTTAGGAAATACGAACACGTGTACTAGAAAGCTGGTGTCTGAATTTCTTGTGCCTTCATGACTTGCTTGGCTTGTAAATGCTTGATTTTTAAAAGTGGTAGCAAAAAATAATATTTATCAGCTATTAGCTTCGTAAGTGCAGGACTGTATCAAATTGTATATGGTACTGTTAATTTTGGCATTCTGCTGTCCAAAAAGCATAAGAAGCATAAATACTTGGCTTTTACTCAAATCGTAGGCCAAAAAAAGAAACCAATTATTTTCAAGACTTAATGTATATCAAATTGAAACATGTTGTAGTTTATTTAGTTGAGAAAAATGCAACGTTTTTGTAATCTACATTCAAATGCTTCGTGTGAGCCCTAGTATAGATGGAGATTGGTTGCTGTTATGTAAAGGAACACTTTAAGACTAAAAATGGTACTACTAATATGGTTCAGGTTTATGAAAGAGTTCTATTTTCTAAAAATACCGAGAAATACAAATAGTTTACCACTATCCAATATTTCAGCCTGAATGTCATTACATAGACTCCAAACTTTGATAAATTACCCGGTGGGAAATTGGCTATCAAATAGCTTGCTATAATCGTAACGATAAAGACAGCGATATGGTCACGAGGATCGCTAGCTCTTTTAAGCTAGCGAAAAGCTATCGATATTTGTAAAGATAAAGACAGCGATTTGGCTACGAAGACAGCAAGTTTAATAAGCTATAAACCCACTGGCTGTTGTAGTTTAAGTCATACCGTAATTAAATCGCTGTCTAAAAAATTTTGATACGTAGTTGCCAACCGGCTATAGATTTGCAGATATTTTGTAGCTAGCTACAAAGCTACGATAAGAAACTAGCGACACATTGCTACAATATCGCAATCTTTAAAATTCAATTGTTCTCATAATTATAATAGACTCAACACTAAAAATCGAATTTTTAAAAATGTTAGAGACATTAGGAAAAAATAAAATAAGAAAAAAAAATTGCTTGAAAATTGCTATAAAGCTAGCTAGTCGCTGGCTAGTCGCTAGCTCATTTCCCACCGGGTAAAGTCTTGCACTAAGTTATCAATTTTGCTTTGATTTGAAGTATGTTGCTGTTGGAAATACTATGGAGACCACTCTTCAGACTGATCTGTACATATCATGGACAGATAAGATAATAAGGTTTATGAAACAGGCTGATTGTTGTGTGGAACTGGCGCAATTAATGACGGAGTGTCAGGGTTAACTTTAATCTAACCGTAACTTTCTTATATTTAGATACAGAAATAACAGCGTGTAGTGTGACTTGGTGGTTATCAGCAGTCACAAAGAATAACAAATTGCATGCTTTTTAATGTCCACATTCCCAGCTTTTTAAAAATAGTTTGCAAGTCCCACTTTTTGAAATTTTTGGTGCTGCAAACATTTTTACTATGCAAAATTTAAAAAATAATAAAAAGATACCACACACAAGTATTATGAACGTTTGTTTTATTATTATCAAAAGAGTTGGAGATAAGGAGGGTACCAAGGGTACCAAGGGTAACAGGACACCCTTCACCATATGTCGTTTTTCAAAGAAATTTTTAATCGGTTTTCAATCCATATGTTATAATTTTTTTTTATTAGAATTATTTGTTAATTATTGTAAGTTTTAATAAATCAAAACAAATTACTCAACATTGATGTAACAACATAACAAAATGGCGGAAGTAAAAAAAATATTGTCAGTTACTTTATATAAATGTCATTTGAGGCCAGGTAATTTATTCAAACGTTTCTTACTGCATCAACTTTGAGTAAAAATCAGAACATATTACTTTATTCTTCTTTACTTCTTTATTTTCTTTAAACATATGGAAATATGGATAATTATATGGAACATCAAAATACAACTTTGGCCAACCTCCCTTAAAATTTATATTAGTATTTTTAAATAACTAAGTTTAAAAGCTATTAAATTTTAGATTCGTGAACACATACTAAGTTCACGAATAAAAAACTTTCAATAAAAGATTTTTCAAAATAGATTTTACATTCGTAAATTACTCGGTAACAGTATTATCTTTTTTAGACGTAATGGTTACACCATTTAAAAAACACTTTTTAGTAGTTTTTTATAAAAAGATTTCATAACAACTACATTTACAACGTACACGTTTTTTAAAGAAACACTTAGTCCTTAGTCCTTTTATTAGCTTTAGTTAATAGAACATTGTTAACACAAATAAAGAAAGCTGTTTTTACAGATTTTTATATTTATAAACTCTTTTGTGAGCACAAGACGATTGACTACCTGATTGACGCCCTTATTTTTCAAAATTTCCCTATATAATATATTAAGGACTTTATTTTTTTTTTAATTTTTTAAGTACCTACATTTCATTTGGCGCCCCTTGGACATCTGCCGCCCGGGACAAACTGTCCCTCGCGACATCCCTCTCGGCGGCGCTGGGCATAAGATTGTCTTCTACAAAGAATATTTAAATTATACGAGTGCAGCATCATTATTTGGACGTCATTAATGATAATTTATTGATAATATTTGAATGAATTTCTTTAGAAATCCAATTTAAACAAAAATAAAGTGGTTTCAAAATTAACTTAAAAGAAGTTCATCTTAACTTTTACAAACCGCATGAAGGATAAGAGGTAGACGGTTATTTAAAAAAAAAAAAAAACCGCATTTAACGCGTCTCGATATTTAAAAAATTACTTGATGTGCGTCTAGTTTTTAGTTCATTTTTAGACTCAAAATTAAGTTCTTAAAGGTGCCAAGGTAAAAAAAATGCATAAACAATTAGTAACATAACATCGTTCTACACATAAACAATGATTAAAACAATATAAATTTTTGTTATAAATAAATTCATAAATATGTCAACTTTGAAACCAAAAACTAACACTTAAAAATTGATGATTTTTTAAATTACTTCCTGATTAATGAGTCTTTATTAAAAGAAAATAAAATAAACATTTATAAACTGTTAGCAATTATATCCGTAAAACAACAAAAACATCTGTTAAAGGAATAATTAATTTGGTAATCAACTATAAATTAAGTTGGATTCTTCAAATAACTATTGATAGACAACAGTGAAAATAATTTGGCAAGACTATTTTTTTTTTGTCAGTTTCTTAATTTTTTTTTTATTGAAGTTAAAAAATGGTGAATTCAAAAATTATTATTATTGACTCGTATCATGAATATGTAAAAGACTACAACTGCCAACCATGTAGCACGCACCGAACTTCTCGGTAAACAGTCATTTACTCTAGTACTGTTATCTTTTAGTTTAAAGTTTTATAATGTGTGTGTTTATATATATATATATATATATATATATATATATATATATATATATATATATATATATATATATATATATATATATATATATATATATAATATATATATAAATATATATATATATATATATATATTTATTTATATATATATATATATATATATATATATATATATATATATATATATATATATATTTATATATATATATATATATATATATATATATATATATATATATATATATATATATATATATATATATATATATATATATATATATATATATGAATATATATATATATATATATATATATATATATATATATATATATATATATATATATATATATCATAAATAAAAGTTTGTAAACTGTTTTGCGCAAAAAAATTGTAAAACAAATATATTTCACAGGTACCTGCTGATTATCCTTGTATTTTGGAGCGTCTTTATGATTATCAGTGATTTAAGTAAACTACCTTCACATCCTAGGTTAGCATTATTTTGGATTTATGACAAGTTAAAGTTAGTCTTTATTTTTCCGTTAATCTAGGGGAATAGGAAAATAACAGGAAAATAATCATGGAAGTATTCGTAGTTTAATAGTGAATATTTCAAACAATATGTTTTTGTATTTAAAACAATATAACTTGCATTTTTAATATGCTTACAATATTTGTTTTTAACATGTTTATTTTAATATGTTTAATATTTTTTTTTAATATGTTACAATATAACTCAATATAACTTGTATTTTTAATATGTTACAATATGTTTTTAAAACAATATAATTTTATATCTATTTAAAACATAACTTTATATGTATTTAAAACGATATAACTTTGTGATAAAGTTAATATTTTCTATTTAGAAAAAAAAGACAATGTACGCCGGTAGAAAACGTAATTTTTCTCAAAACGCATAAGACAGGCTCAACAACAGTTGCAAATGTTATGTACAGATATTCAATGTCAAATCGTTTAAAAGTAGCATTGCCAAGATGCGGCCATAGATTTTGTTTTCCGCTAAAATTTAAACACAATTTCCTTTACAAACATAATGAAAATGAAACTTATAACATGCTATTTCACCATGCTGTTTATGACAAACTAAATATGTTAAAAATCTTTGATAAAGGTCAAACAAAGCTAGTAACCATTTTGAGGGAGCCCTACTCCCAATTTGACTCAGCTGCACAATATCTAAAGTTTAGAAAATACTATAAATTAAATGGAACGTTACCAGTTCTGGACGAACTTTTTAAGCTTTCCAACGAAGAATTAGAAAAGTATATAAGGTCTCAAAAGTTTGACGGGTTCGGAACATATTCTTTAACAAAAAACCCAAATGCTTTTGACATGGGATTTGATCCTTGGAACGAAACTGATGAGTATATTAATACAATTTTAAAGACAATTGAGAATGATTTTAACCTAGTCATGATTACAGAATATATGGAAGAGTCATTGGTTTTGTTAAAAAATGAGTTATGTTGGAGTATAAAGGATGTAGCATTTTTTCATCATAATGCAAGATTGACCAAGGATGTCAATACAAACAATTTAAAAAAAGCAAAATCCAGATTAATGAATTGGAATAAAATTGATGTCGCAATATATAATTATTTTAATCAAACATTTTGGCGTAGAATAGAAAACAGTGACAGTAATTTCAAACAAGATGTAGAAAAACTCAAAAGGTTGAACAATTTGTTGAAAATCACTTGTTCGTCACGACAGAACAGTGAAACTATAGCAACAAAAGCAATACTAAAGTCAGACTTCAATATAGTACAAAATATAACAGAACTATGTTTTAACTTACTAATCGAAGAGCAAAGTTTTACGAACTTTTTAAAACAAGCAAAAGATAAGAAACTATAGAAATACAATAATGTATTGTTGTTTTTATAAAATATTGTGATTTTTTTATTTTTGTGTCTTCTGGAGACTTTATTAGTTTCGCGAGTTGCGTAAGTTTGTTTTTGTTTGTTTTGTGAGTTTATTTTAGTTTTGTGAGTTTGTGTGTGTGGGAGAGTGTAAAGGGAGAGTGGAGAGAAGTGTGACACAAAAATTTTTTTTTAGGTTATTTGCAATATTTTTTTTTATTTGATGAATGAAATGAACCAAACAATTTTTAACAAAGAAAGCAGTATTTGGGGTACCGATTTCACTCTCCTAAGATTGATAACATGTTTAATAAAGTTTTGATAGCATGTTTAATATACTTTTTTGGTTTTAAAGGAACCCTGCTATTGGGGTAAAGTGGGACAAGTGAGCTGGTGAAGCAAAACATTTGGGAGAGAATTGGGACTATATAAAAACGACTCCAAAACTAATTAAATATTATTTTGAGCAAATTTTGATTTTAAAGTTGAGTTTAAATTTAAATAAAACAAAATAGTAAACGCATTACGTTTTTATATACGTTTAACATATACGTTTTATTAATAATAAATTAAATAATAAGAATTCAAATTTCTTTGTTAAAAAAATAAAAACGATCTTCACATTTGTTGTCCCACCAGGCTGTTGAGGCAGGACTTTATCATTAAAATTCACACTACGAATGTCATTAGTTCTAGGTTTGACAAATTTAGAAGTTTCTTTATTCTAGCCTCTACATCAAAATCTTTGTCTATTTTTTTCAACATTATACTTACATAATAAGAAATGGTGATTTTACTACAAACCTCACAAAGAACATAATCACTGACACTAACGGTTAGCACGGATCCTTATAATGCCTACCTAACTGTCCCAAGAACGCCACTTATAGGGAAAGTTAGCGTACACATTAATGTTCCCTGTGATGCAAATTTTGAAATCCAATAAAAACACTTGTAGAATTTGAACCACTCAATATAATTTGATAAAAATTTATGCAAATGTAGCCAATAGTCACACCAAACATTGGGAAAAATTTCAGCCTAATTGGATAACTGGTGTAAGATTTATTGCAGTTTTGGTTGAAGTTTTGTCCGTTTTTTGCTACTTATACCTCAAAGCGTTACTGATTACTTTGAACTTCGGTCACTATTTTTAAAATTACGGTTACATGAGTGTTCTACTATGTAATAACACCAATTTTTGCTATAATTATTTTATCGGTACATGTACAGTTTTCATTTTATAGGCCAAAATAGTGATTTTCTACTTAAAGCATGATTTAGTGTCGACACGGCCTTCAAAGTGGAGAGGGTCAACCCCTTAATTTATAAAATAAAATTCATAATTTCTAAAATAATTGCCTATATTTCTAAAACAAAAGGTTCTCGCAAAAAAAAAAGTAGAGAAGGACAGGAACCCCTAACCTCCCCGGCGTTGACGGCCATGTATGCTTCGCTTGAATATACCAACATTTCCTAAGGTATAAACTGCTGCCAAAAAAAAAGTTAAAAAAAAGTGCAAAACCTGGTTAAAAGATTACCATTTAGTAAAACAAAAAAAAAAGTAGATCTGCTAAAATATTTTGTATTGACCTCCTTAAATACATTTACTTTTAAAATGAAGTGAAAACTATTTAAACCCTATTTTTTGCATTGTATTACCATTAAATATCTAACTATATTTTAGGAAATGTTTTTTTGATTTTCTCCACTAAAAGATTATTAATAAATAGCTCAATGTACTCTTTAAATACAAACCCTCTATAATACTACTTTTAAAGATTGTGAAAATAATACGCCTATTAAATATTTTGAAATTTTCAATTTTTTCAGCGAAATCCGGCTGAAGGATGTATCCAAAGCAAGCGTTGACAACTAAATTTAAACTTTTGAATGGTTCAATTATGCACACAATATTGGGAACCATGTTTGTTTCAGCAAGTTGCTGAAGCATATACACATTTTTGAGAAACTTCCTGAATTCATTTCCCTCAAACTGGCCCTCGTGATACGGGCTCAGTTAAATGTGGAGGGCGGCCGGCCACTTATCAGCTTCTATCCAAGAAGTTTTAAGGATCTTGAAAAGATGGTTGACAACTCTTAAGAAGAGATGCAATTCCATCAACAATTTGACAGGCCCGCAGTTGATTGGCTTTCGAATGACATTGCCAAACAGCTTTGCATTAGCAACAACTCCGCCAGATTGCTGAAGACTTAAGGGTTGAATTAAATGAGCCCAGTGTTCGCAAGTTTACAGATTTAGCAAGACAGTTGGATTTGACGTCACACCAGGTGTAAGGGTGCGTACTTGAATGAGTTTGAAGACCACAAATTATATTTGCAACTTTCATACCACAAGCCAAAATTAGTTTAACTCCATTTGCATTAATCAGTGACCAGATTTGTTTAATATTGGAGTGTGTTTCTGGCAAACCTTCTAAAACCCTAACAATAATTTGTCTCCTGACCCTAATGACTTTACCAGTCCTTTGAGTGAGAAATTGTTGTTGGTGCGGTGAGCTGGTTTCATCCCTTAACGCAGTATCAACAATGTTTAGGCAAAACTTGAAAAAACCTTTGCCATCATCTATTCCGAGCTTAACAAAATAGCTACCAGAAATTTTGCGGGACTGAATAACATGTTTCGCTAGACTTAATGAATCATTGCAGTGAGCATCAACATGAACATGTTCAAGAATCAGTTTTTTCGTCTGTGATTTTTGACTTTTTTTTTTAATTGTATTCACTCCCAACAAGGCTGCAAGCAACCACTATCAAGTTGGGAGTTACTAGGAAAAAAAAGAACAGAGTTATAGAGCAAGGAAACGGTTGACAGAAGACTTGAAAAGTTGAAGGTTGTATGAGTCAGGAAAACATGAAGATGGGAGAGAGTTCCAAAGGATTGAAGTGCGGGGAAAAAAACTAGATGAATAAAAGTTTTTAGAACATGCAGGGACAGATACAGTAAACGAATGAGACTTAGCTGAATGACGAGTAAAACGAGAATGAATTTTAGTTGATGGAACTAGAGATGATAACTCCTTTGAGCAGTGACCATGATAGTATCTGTAGAAAAGAGAAAGAGATGCAACTTTACGACGATGGGAAAGAGGTTCAAGCTTAGCAGATAGTCCAGGTCCAACAACATTTACAATGCGTTTTTGGACCTTGTCAAGAAGAGAAAGTGAATCGTTAGAAGAACCAGCCCAAATATGACAACAGTATTCCATACAGGGACGAATAAGAGATTTGTAGAGGTAGAGAATGGAATCAGAAGTAAGAAAATGGCGAGCACGATAAAGAGAAGCAACCTTAGCAGAAGCTAATTTAGCAATCGATTGTATATATGGTTTCCATGAAATGTCAGTAGTAAGCGATAATCCAAGAAGACGTAAAGAGGACGACTCAGTAAGAGGATTGCCATTCATTAATATAGGAATGTTGACCATATTACGGTAGTTGTTTGCAGTAAGCAACTGGGTTTTTTTAGAGTTGAAATTCACAAGCCACTGTGAACCCCAATCTATTACTGATGTGAGATCAGATTCAAGATCAGCTGCTTGTTCTAGACGATCGAAAAGAGAAGACTTTTTGTCAAGACAGGAGTATAAAATTGAGTCATCAGCAAAAAGAGCTACTTTAGATGAAAGGTTGTCAGGAATATCGTTTATGTAGATAAGAAACAAAACAGGGCCCAGGATGGAACCTTGGGGAACTCCAGAAGTTACTGGAAATAAAGAAGAGTGTTGGTCTTCAAGGATGATTTTAATAAACCGGTTAGAAAGAAATGATTTGATAATCTCAAAAACTTTCCCAGAAACACCATATGAAGCAAGCTTATGGAAAACACCAGCATGCCAAACTTTGTCGAAAGCTTTAGATATGTTGAGAGCAATAGCCCTAGCCTCACCGCCTCCATCTAATGCACGATAAAATCTTTAAGTTACAGCAGTTAGCAAGTCGGCCGTAGAGCGAGAGGATCAAAAACCGTATTGATTGTCTGACAGTAGTTTATTTGACTCAAGATGAGATGTGAGGAATTTGTTGATCAAAGACTCAAAGACCTTGCTAATAACAGAAAGAAGACTGATCGGACGATAATTGGAGGGGTCAGAATTTTCTCCAGAGTTTTGGAATGGAAGGAAGAGAATGTCTATAAGATTCAAGAGTGGAATTAGAAGAAAAGTTCTTTGCAAATAGTTCTGCCTTATCCTTGGGAGAGGTAATAAGATCAGTCCTATGAATGAGAGATGGAATGTTAGATCTACCCTTGTTAATAATGCTGTTAAAGATTTTCCAAAAGTCTTTAGAGCCTAACTTCTGTGATAAGATGCGAGATTTAGTGAACTGAGAATAATGGAGTTTAGCATCAGAAAGCACCTTTTTACATCGATTTCTTGCAATAATAAATAGCCGTTTGTTCTCAAGAGAGTTGTTCTTTTGAAAAAGATGAAAAAAATGATTACGATTGGATATAGCAGCCGCACAAGAAGGAGAAAACCATGGAGTAGAATGAGGCTTGACTTGAAACCGACGAGAAGGAATAAAAGCTTCCATTCCAGCCTGAATCCAGGAGGTTACTTAGGAGGCGCATTTGTCAGTTGAGAGAGAAAAAACATCAGCCCAAGGACCATCACAAAGAAAATCACGAAAGGAATCCCAGTCAGCTTTAGGGTAGTAGTAGGTGGTGCGATGATAAGGTGAGCCCAAAAAAGAAGTACGAGAAGAAAGGTTTATAGAAATCGTTACATGGTCAGAACCACCTAAGGGAGAAAAGGGAGAAACTGAATATAAGCTAGGGTCAGAGACAAGACATAAGTCAAGGAGTGAAGGTAAATGATTAGGGTTGTCAGGAAAACGAGTCACAAAGTTAACTATCCGAGTAAGAGATTCAGAAACGCAAAAGTTAAAGGCTTTAGTGCCAGCAGGATCAGTGGTGTTAGAGCCAAGCCATTCAGTGTGATGGGCATTAAAATCACCAACAACAACAATAATGGCAGAGGGGTAAAGAGAGAGGACATGGTCAATTTGATCAGAGATAAC